GCGTCTCGTGGTAGTGTTCAGGAGATAGATGGTCAAATTAGGGGCTGTTTTATGAGGACGGGCACATTCCTAGGCGGTTGAAAAAATGTGATGAATGAACTGATGTCAGCTTGGAGAGAGGGATTTCTGGTGACGTGATTTGGCTCTTTCTTTCACTTTGTCCTATTAATCATTTATATCACCAATTTCGATGAAACACGTCCATCACATTTACATATCACATAAAGCTGGGAGTGACAGCTAATGGTTGGAGTAAGGGAATCAGGACCAAAAAAAAAAAAAAAAGGGGAGGGGGCTTAGCCATCTGAAATGATTGGCTGAAACTGAAATCACACTAGTCAAGAATCAAGCAGACATGTTTTTAACAGCATTTCCTATGAGGAAGACCTGGGAATTTGTGATCTACCTGTTACTCCTATGCCCCAGCCATAGACTTTTGTGTGTTTGTTTGTTTTTTAATTTATTTTTGAGAGGTGTGGGGGTGGGGGGCGGTGGGGAGTGGCGCAGAGAGAGAGAGGGAAAATCCCAAGCAGGCTCGATGCTGTCAGTGCACAGTCTAACACGGGGCTCAATCTCAAGAAGAGTGAGGTCATGACCTGAGCCTAAATCAAGAGTCGGACTCCTAACCGACTGAACCACCCAGGTGCCCCTAGAGTGTTTTATTGCAAATACAGGGTGTGGAATGGAAAAGGTACAGGCTCTACTTACGAGAAAAAACCAGTATGTTCATTTATACTTCCAGGTTTTAAGAATTATCTGGGCACTTTGTAATATAAGGAATATTTCCAAGGATCAGAGTGGTTTCCTTATTAAAACTTAACTTTTGAGGGGGCGCCTGGGTGGCTCAGTTGAGCGACCGACTTTGGCTCAGGTCACGATCTCGCGGTTCATGGGTTCGAGTCCCACGTCGGGCTCTGTGCCGACAGCTCTGAGCCTGGAGCCTGCTTCCGATTCTGTGTCTCCCTCTCGCTCTGCCCCTCCCCCACTAGAACTCCATCTCTCTCTAAAAATAAATAAACCTTAAAAAATTAAAAAAACAAACAAAACTTTTGTGTGTATGTGTGTTGAGTGAGGAATCGTCAGAATAGTAGTTATTTTCAAATATTTGAAGACTGAAAAAGGAATTTGCTTAGTTCTTTATTTGTTTAGCTTTAGAAAAAAGTATCACGTACTTCCTGTGGGGCTGGAAATTGTGCCAGGCAGTGGGGATATAGTAGTGACTGAGCCCAAAAAGTGACCTCATCTTTACCCTTTGTGTCACTGACAGTCTGGGGAGGAAAGTCAGACATTAACCAGACAATTCCATGAGTAAATGTGACTTGCAGCTATGATCACACCAGTGGAGTCGAGGTCCATGGCACCCTGAGAGTGGATTAGTCGGGACCCTTGGTTTGGTTAGTGAGATTGCTGCTTGCTTGAGGCAGTGAGGCTGGAGGTGAGGAAGAGTGTACCTTAACTAGGTGACAGGAGGGAAGGGACCCAGGGTGAAGGAACCTTTCTAGGGCACAGAGGACACTCTCTAAACCTGAAAAAGAAGACGGGTTCAGGACCATCAGCCTCTGAAGACTTGGGTAAGAAGTTTATTCTGTGTTGAGGAAAAGTGAACCGCATTTGCTGGACTTATCTAGAAGACTGATTTAAATTTGGGACGGTGTCGCTGCTGAGTTGACCGGCCCCAGGCCAAGGGAGGACTGCAGACCATGGATGAAGAGGTGGGGGGGGGGGGGGGGGGGGGGGGGTGGGGGGGGGGGCAGTGGGGGTGTTGCCCCCGGGGAATCAGGCCCTGTCATAGAAGAGGAAGGAATTCAGCTGTGGGATGGGGGGGAGAGCACTATTTGGGGACAGAGGATGTGGGTACAAATCCCAGTTTTGCCACTTACTAGTTTGGTGGCCTTCTGTCCCCGAAGTAACTGCCCAACTTTTGGCTCACATGTTTTGTCAGGATTAGATGGTTCTTGCGAATGACCTACAAATTGTGAAGCGTAACATAAGATGGAAGAATTGAGAAAAAAAAAAATGTGTCCACCATGGCCATTATCGGACAGGGTGACTTAGTAATGGAATGGAGCTTCCTCCGTGGTCTCCAGCCTAAGTGTTTGGAACTGTGTAAGAGTTTTGTCATTGTAGCTTCAGATCCCATTCTTCCCTGACAGGCGCAGCCTGAAAATCACTCGTCCACTTGGCTCGTAGCAGCCCTCAAGTTGCTCAGCGGGACTTTAAATCAGATACACATGAGCTGTTTTTGTCGTCGGTGACCTCAAAAGCGAGAAGCAGCTTTAATGAATCTTACAGCAAAGCCCTAAAGCCAAAAAATTAGAAAGTATGAAAAATTGTCAAATACATCTTTAGTACTTTTGTATCTTAAATTTTATCCAAGCACATAGAGATGCATGTATATTTTTGCTCTAGAATGTTGCCTGGGTGTATGTTGTTGTGTGTGTATCCATGCAAATAACACACGAAAGACCCTGTGAGTGGAAACGTACCATTCGTTTTTGAAGTGTTTTCCATTTTTTTTTTTTAATTTTTTTTTCAACGTTTATTTATTTTTGGGACAGAGAGAGACAGAGCATGAATGGGTGAGGGGCAGAGAGAGAGGGAGACACAGAATCGGAAACAGGCTCCAGGCTCCGAGCCACCCGCCCAGAGCCCGACGCGGGGCTCGAACTCACAGACCGCGAGATCGTGACCTGGCTGAAGTCGGACGCTTAACCGACTGCGCCACCCAGGCACCCCTGAAGTGTTTTCCATTTAAAACCCACAATAAAATGGAAATCAGGGTAAAATACATAGCTATTTTTTTTGGAGACAGGAACGGAATAATATTTCTAATGACTCACTGAACGGAGTATGCATTCATAACATGGTATTTATTCACGTATTGATGCACACAAAGTCCACTCAACAAATATTCATTAAAGGACCTAAGATGTTTATATGCATCGCTCTACCCTGCATTTTTATTAAGGTTATTTACATGCATCACTACAAATCTCCACAATCTGTGTCTTGGTAAAATAGGACAAGCCCTTTTGCATTAAACTAGGCCAGGATGCGAAGATAATCTAAACATTTAAACTTATGCAATCTTCCAGCGCAATCCCAAAGACAACTTCCACTGGAGCATTCTGCCCATTTAATCAGGTGTTAAATGTTACTGTCCTTGAATATTTTGTTGCTTTGATGGTTTTAAGAATTCCTCAATTCTAACTATGTTACCAATAGTGTGACTCGTGTGTTGAAATGCTGTTCATTCTAGTTATTTCACACATATTCTTTAGGAGACTAGAACAATAATTGCTGAAAACTGATCGCATCTTAGGGGTGTTGAATCTTGGAAGTTGCTTCTGGATCCATAGCTGAGTGGAAAAGACATCTGAGTGAGAAATCAGATCTTCCCACAGACTTCCATTTATACCTACAGTGACAGTAATAGATGGACCAGGCCCTGTGCTAAGGATTTTACATCTACTTTACTTAACCTTTCCAACAGCTCTATAAAGTGTGGGTATTGTTATTCCAGGGTTATAGATGAAGAAGCTGGGCTTTGGGGGAGGTTCAGTAAGGAGGCCTGGGTTCCATCCCAAGTCACTTCTGATTCCAAGACTGCTATGCTATTTTGAAACAGCTGATTTGCTACACAAGAAGTTGATTGAAATCATTTTAGACTAGTCTCCTGGAGCCACGCTTCTTGCCTTTGCGATGGATGGTGCTATATCAAAAGGAGATAACACACAGATTGCAGATACAAAGGTAGAAATAAAAAAGTGATAGCAATCCTTGAGTAATATTGGATTTCTTGTTGTTGCTTTTGTCATAAGTTTTTAAATAGCTAATGCTTACCTGTAGTAGGAAATAACTCAGATAGCCCGAGAGCGTATACAATGCAAATCATGGCTCCCTTCTGCTCTGGCCGCCCTTTCTCCCACAAAGAGGCAACCGCTGTGTCCAATTTCCAGTTATTCTTCCAGAGAGAGAGTTCACATGAATTGATTTGGGGGGGAAAAAAAAGTAACGTTTGAGCATCGTGTCTACAGAACCCAACTGGAAGCAGCCAGGTCTGGCCACTGGTTGACATCTGAGTGGGGCCAAGCGGGAGAAAGTGGAACTGGATGTAGAAGAGACGTTGTGCAGTGGAAATGCAGCCAGGCATTAGCCCTCTCCGCCCAGGAGTCCTTAACCCCTCCAAGCACGTTTGCCCCATTGTATAGATGAAGAAATTGGTTCTTTGAGTCCCCCGACTAGCTGTACGGAGAGCAACACTCCCACGCAGGGCTCTGCCTCTCATCTTTCCATCCAAGGCAGTGCTGGCGACCGCTGGGTTTGAGAGTGCTATCGAGAATTGGACAGTCGAAGTGCTCTAGAACTGACTAGAGTTTCTGCCGGTAAGCCGGGTAGCAAGCTGCAGAAAGCCCAAAGGCAATAGCGGATTTTTTTTTTTTTTTCTAACTTTTAGAACACATTGTTAAATTTTACAATAGGTTCCGATTTACAGAAAGCTTGTGAAGATAGTACAGAGAGTTCCTATATATCTCACACCCAGTTTCCCATATCATCAACGGCTGCCCTCACTCACTGTAAGGTTACTCTTTACTCCCCCTTTTCAGACTTTCCCCCTTTGGAAGGAAAGCACTGTGTGTGGCCCCCACTTAAGGAGAGGGGAGTCCTGTTCCACTCCCGCAAGAGTGGGGTATCTTCATAAATTACTTGGAATACTTCTGCATGAGATTTGTCTCTCCCCCCCCCCCCCGTTTGTGTATGTATTTAATCAGTCATTTATTTATGTAAGTATGGATTCGTGGATGTTTTTTTAACTTATTTTTTTAAGTTTATTTGTTTGTTTTGAGGGAGACTGAGACAGCGCTAGTGGGGACAGGCAGAGAAAGAGGGAGACAGAATCCCAGGCAAGCTTTGTGCTGCCAGTGCAGAGCCTGACGCAGGGCTTGAACTCAAGAAACCGCGAGATCACGACCTGAGCCGAAACCAAGAGCCAGACGCTGAACCGACTGGACCGCCCAGGTGCCCCTCGTGGATACTTATTTTATACTTTGGATTATAATGCAACACCATTTTATTATTCCGATTGGCTCAGCTTTGATCATTGGGAGCTTTGTAAATGGCCCCTGTGTCCCTTGTCCCTCTGATATAACCTCATCATTGAGTTTTATTTTTTGTTTTGAGTACTTTTTTAGTGTCTGGGACTATAGGATGCATTAGATTCACCCTTATATTTTCTACTCCACTCTTAGGATCATTTCTGCAAAGAGCCCTGGTTCCTTTTGTGGGAAAATGGTGTTAGAATCCACGATCTGGGTGCCAGGTGTAGTAGCTTTTTGCAAACCAAATACTTAGTGGAAAAGAAAGTTTTTGCCATTGTTTCAGGTAGTGATGAATTGGGTTATTGAATTAATTTTTGTGTTAATACTGCTGGATCGAAATTTTACCTGAGTGAGTTGAGTAGAATCATCACAAGAATTTCTAAGTAAAATTCTAAGAAGTAATTGTTTTATTACTCTTTTCTATTACTTTAAAGAAAGCCGCCTGCCCATGATGGCACTTTATCCTTGACCAGAACCTGAGGCAGAACTTCAAAACATGGTAATTTGAAGCAGGTTGGGATTAATTTGAGGATATTGGAAAGACTTGATACTCCATTAGGAAAATTAAGAAGCATGGAGTACGGAAAGACATGTAATTCATATTCATGTAAAGAATAATACTTCCTTTTGCATCACTAAGCATTTTAAATTTGTGTACCCAACAGAGGATTGGGAGAGAATGTGAAAGGGAAAAAAAAGAACAAAAAAGTAAAAAGGAACAAAAAAAAAAAATGACTGTTGAGTATCGTGAAAATATCTGGACAGTGGTCCTAACTGATTTACGTTATTTCAGAATATTCTTTATTAGAGATCTGGCCTTTCTAACTCCAGAATTAAGATTTTCTTAATCTTCTTAAGCTTCTTTATCTTTTGCCCTGCCTTTTGTCCCCTTTCACTCTTCAGCATCTGCGTACCATTTCAGTAAGAGAGCGGAATTGTTACCGCCCATCAAGCAACCAGGTCAGAAGAATCACAAGATCTGATAGGCGAATGCGTGAAATGTGTGTTGATTGTAAAAACAAAACAAAACAAAACTCATTTTCTGAGAATTAACCATATGTTTTTTTCCCAGGGCCTACTTGTCCTCACCTATTGTATTTTAATTTTCTTGCAGCTTAACTGTAAAGAATAGTCTTCTAAATCAGTGTAAATAGAAAAACTTCGATTTAAATGGATTGCATGCAATTGCAATTAGTAAGCAGCAGAAGCACTAATGAGGAAGAGAGCCAGGCAGGTGAAAAACCGAAGCCAAGGTAAATGAAGCAGTCTCTGATGAATAAGCAAACGTTAACTCAGGGCACCGGAAAACAGAGTGAGTTGGAGATGCCCAGGGAGCCCTCAAATGAAAATAGCTGGAAAGCCTCCAGAGGGACGTTGCTGAGTATAGAGATGGGCAGATCATAAGAGCGAGGTTCTGGGGAAGGGTTGCTCTTGCGTCTGAAGCCTGGCACAGATTGCCAGGGAGCACATGAGACGCCCAGTGTCTTCTTCAGAGTTCAGCGGAAGCCATCAAGCCCATGCTCGAAGAACCTGGAAACACTAATCTAGGACACAATGGAGGGAAACTTGAGTGTATGAAGGGTGTACCATGTGCTGGGTGAACTATGTCATTTAATTTTTATACCCGCCCTTTCCCGTCTCCTGGCATTTAATTCTTACACCAACCCTTTGAAGGAGAGTATTACTACAGTGTTACAGGTAGAGGAAATGGGGCACAGAGTGGCTTGAGGATAGCTTGCAAATCACACCGCCACTAATCGGAGGTGGAAAGTGGAAGTTTTCATTTCAAGCAGTTTGGGGGAATCAAGATAGACTGAAACCAATTCGGGGTTGCGTAGGTGCAGACTCTTAGCCCCTGGGGCGATTAACGATACTTTTTGGGGGGGGGGTTCTGGGTTGAACTGGTTAAGAGAAAGGAGTTTAAAATGGTGGCTGTGACGTTCAGATGGTTTAGAGCTGCTGAAAAATGAGGGTTCTGGTAGGCTGCTCTATCTGGAGAGCCTTAGAATGGGCTGAAAACTCCTGGACATAGCTGGTTGAGCAAGTGGGCTTGGGGATTGGCTGAAGGGTGGGTTCTTTTAATTATCATTTCACATTCCCTTTGACCTTCTCAGGATTCCTGTAGACGGGAGAGAGTGCTTTTTGGCTCTTCCGGGGAGAATAAATTTTAGTGGGGGCTATTCTTCGATTCTGGCCAACTGGTCGCTCCAATGTACGTTAGGCCATTTGTGAATGAGACAGGAGAATCGCTGTGAACTGCGAGGATGTAATATGTTAAACACGGTGTGTTTATGTTTACCAAATAAATCTCAAGAGCGCATTAATTGTATGTCTGTAGTTCTTGAAGTGAAGTAGGCTAAGTGGGGGAAAAGCATGATTTAGTCCTGCTTTATTGCTGGCCAAATCTCTAGGCTGGCCTTTTTTTTTCCTTTTAATAAAAATGCTTGTGGTTCCTTGTCTTCCCATTAGCTCATAGTTGAGAGCTCTGTTAAGTTGTCTGTGAGACGGCGTGTATTAGGCTTGCCTGATTAAAATTGTTCATGAGAGATCAAGCAGACAAGGGACTTTTAGCATAATTAAAAAAGCACTGCTCGCCTTTAAAGATGAGATTTCAGAGATTTTCAAATTTATATCCACCTGTAGGGAAGTGTGTTTATGTAATTAGATTCCGGTTCTCTCATGAACCCTTCTTAACTCAATTCACACATGGTGTCCTTTCCTTTTATAGACTGTCATCCTCTCATGCAGGAGACGAGAGATGTTGAGAGGAGACAGAATTTGAATGAACTGAAACGTTTCCCTTGAAAGATCACAATGTGATAAGTTACACAATCAGTTACCTCCTTATGTTAACCTGTTTATTTGTGAAAGGAAATGCAGGAGCAAAGTTGAAGATCGTCAAGGGAAAAATCCAAACAAACGGCCTATCCTGTGTTCTCAGGCTAATCCGAGAAAAATTACAGCAGCTTTTGGAATACATCTCCTTGTGTTTAATGGACGTCTTCGTCCAAGGTGGTTTTTTCAAAATTTTGTCTTTTCATATTGCAGTCCCAAACCTTCCATTGCTGCGCTCTGAAATCATTCAGTTCTTATTCTCATTTTACGGTCATGTTTCAGAGGGAAAAAAAGAGATGATTACACTTAATGTGGTTTAAAATGGCTTCTTTTGTCCTTTTAAAGCAAAGTCCACTGCTATGGACTTGTTTAGTACTTTATAGAGCACACTTCAGGTTTTGTTGTTTTTTTTAAGTGTGTTTCTAAAATACATTTTAGTTCTTTGGAAAGAAACCCTTTCTAGCGTAAATCAAAATGTTATTGCTATAATGAGGCAGCATTTTAGAAGAAAATTACCAAGGTGTGAACCTTTTTTTTTTTTTTTTTTTACCTACATGTATAAGGCATTAATTTCATAGACGAAGTGCTTCCGAACATGGGAACATTTTCTTCAGGGAAAGCATTTTCCTCAACGAATAAGTAATGCTTTGTTTTCACCCAGAAGATTGCTTTAGAACATTTCTCATGTAATTAAAATAATTTTTCCATTAGCTGAGAGTAGTTCTCAAAGCTTCTTGACTTTTTTTTTCACTTCTATCTTATTCTGCATTTTTAAAAAAGAATTCGTTCTAGCCTGATTTTAACATTAAACAGCAGTGTGCAGAAGGTACCCAAATTATGTTTATGTGAGCTCTGGGCAAGAGAAAAAGATGATAAAAGAACCTCCCCAAACCAGAAGGTACCATAAATTATCCCAGTTATATATTGAGACTAAATTTTAGGAACCTAATGAAACATATATTGGCCAGGCATAAAGATACTTCAAAACCATAAACAATCGAGGAAGAAAGGAGCCTGAAATTTTAAATGGTGGGATTTTTTTTTTTTAATGTCTCATGTTATCTGCAGGAGGAGAGCACTAAACAAGGTTACATCTTGAAATGGTAAAATCTGTGAATAGTTTTGTTTGTGGGAGGAGGGTCACAAAGAGGTTCCTCTGGCTTTCTTCTCCTTGACAAGTAATCAGAGTAGTTCACAGATTTCCTGGTTTCCAACCATTTTATAGTCTGGAGAATTAATGCTTGCATCAAATTATACAGTACCTTACTTTTGATTAAATAAAGTGTTTTAACAGGACCCCACAATCAAGTAAGCTAGATAATAGTTGCTTTAATTAAGACCTAATTTAGGTTGAAAACATATAGAATTAACAAGGTATACTATATGTTATAGCAACCGGTATATTTCTGCCATAGGCATTATGATTTCCTTTGTATTCCACAGAAAGGAAAACCCTTATGTTCTCTTTATTCTTGTTCAATTTCACACATTGGTTTTCATATCCATTTAATTGCTTATTCATCCACCTGTCTGTCGTTCATCCATTTACTCAGTAAGCACTTACGGAACCTTTCCTGTTGGGCTTGGGTACCTGTGATACAGAGATGAGTCAACTCTTTGAGGATATCTTTGCGTGTGTATGTATATATATTGCATGCCACAAATTCACAAAGAATTACCAGTACGAATAGAGTGATGTGCATGTAAAAGAAGGTACATCTAATTGTTTCTGGAATGTCAGAGAAAACTTCAGCAGAGGAGACAGTGTTTAAACTGAGTCTGGAAGGATGGAAGTTCCTTCACTGGGCTGAAAATCAGAGGAAGGGCACACAGAAAAGTGAGAAGAGCAAGTAAAAAATGCATTGCGCTTTTAGAAGACGTGTAAATATTTTGGTATGTCTGGAATATCCGGGAGAAATCTTTGGAAATGATGCTGTGGAAGTAGGCAGGTAGATCTCTCACCTGGCCATCTCGATGAGTTCAGACTTTACTTGCAAGGCAGTGAAGGAAATGAAGCTGAGTGAATAACAGGAGAAAATTTGCATTTTGGAAAAATAAGTTGGGCAGGATTACAGAAAATGTTTACAGAGGGCAACAAGGGACCACATGCAGTATTCCTCAGATGGCTCCTGTTTCTTCAGTGAACTGGGAGGCAATCTTGTATCCTTGGGTTTTAGGGTCAGACAGACTTCATTTCAGATCCTGAATCTCAAGAGCCCCTTAACTTCCCTCAGCCTAGGATTTTTCATCTGTAAAATGGGAATAATAGTGGTCTTGCAGTATTGTAGAGTTTACGTGTTCGAAATGCTTTGCTTGGATTTCTAGGCCAATTCTAATCCATGTTTCACTTGCCACACTATCGGCCATTTGCCAAAAGCCATCGTGGCTTTCTTTAGGCTTCTTATTTCCAGGCTTGGTGCATTCTCAGATGTTCCAGGTTTTGGGGTGGTGGTTACAAAACAAAACAAAACAAAACAAATGGTTTTGTTGAAGCGTATCTGACATACAGTAAACTGCACATAATTAAAGAGTACTATTTGGATATTTGGATATGTCTGTGAGATCATCATTGCAGTCAAGGTGCTGAATATACTGTCACACCAGTGGTTTCCTTGTGTTTCCTTGTGTTTTCTTCCTTCCCCTTCTCCCTGCCCGTTCAACTCAGAGCCCACCACCCCCACCCATCCCTGCGATCCCTTACATACTTTCAGTCACTGTAAATTAGTTTACATTTCCTAGAAGTTGATATTATAAATGACATCTTACGGTAGGTATTCTTTTTTTGTCTAGCTTCTTTCACGGGACATGATTACTTGGTCATTCGTCCATACTGTTGCATGTAACAAGCGTTCATTTCTTTTGATTGTTGACTGGTATCCCATCGTGTGGGGTACGGACATAGTCACCTTTCGCTGGACAAATGAGTTATGTCCAGTTATCGAGTATTATGATTAAGGCAGCTATGACTGTTAGCGTTCAAGACTTTGTATGGACCTACGCTTTCTTTGTTGGGGGTGGGTGGCTGGGTGGTAAATAACTTAGGAATAGAATGGCTGGGTCATATGGCAGGTATATGTTCAAATTTTTAAGAAACGTCCACAAACTTTTTTTTACACCGGTTGCACCATTTGACATTGCCACCAGCATCGTGTGAGAGTTCCGGGTCCCCTGCATCCCAACCCACACTTGATATGGTCAGTCTTTTAAATGTTCATCATTCTGATGTGTGTAGTTGTTTCTCTTAGTGGCATTTATTTGCGTCTTCTCAGGTTAATGATTTGGGGCATCTTTTCGTTTGCTTATTTACCATCTTTTTTCGTCTCTGGTTTCTGTTCACATCTTTTGCCCACTTATTATTATTATTATTATTACTGAGTTTTGAGAATTTATTATGGGTACAGGTCCTCTGTCAGATGTTTGCTTTGCAGATATTTTCTCCTAGTCCGCTTGTCTTTTTAGCCCAGCAAGGGTGTCTTAAACAGCAGAAGTTTTTAATTTTGACAAAGTCCCATTTACCAATTTTATCTTCTATGGATTGTGCTCTTGGCCTCCTCGGTAAAAAAACTTGGCCTACTGAAGGTCCAAAATATTTTTCTCATGTATTTCTTTTCAAGGAGCTTTATGTTTTTTTACATTTAAGTCTGTAACCCAATTTTGCAATAAACTTTTACCTTTGGGAAATTTTACACTTTTGGGAAGGTTGCAGAGGTAGTACAGAGAGTTCCTGTGCACCCCTCATCTACTTTCTCCTATTATTAACATCTTACATAACCGCAGTAGATTTGTCAGCGCTAAGAAACCAGCTTAGTACGTTACTATTCACTTCACTTCAGACTTGATTTGGATTTTATCAGTTTTTCTAATACCTGTTTTCTGTTCTGGAATTCAATCCATGATTCCCCATTTGTGTGTCGTCCTCATGTCTCCTTAGTTTTCTCTGATCCTTGACAGTTTCTTAGTCTCTCTCTCTCTCTCTCTCTCTCTCTCTCTCTCTCTCTCTCTCTCTCTCTTTTTATGACCTTGACAGTTTTGAGCAGTACTGGTCATTTTGTAGAATGTCCTGTAATTTGGGTTTGTCTGATTTTTCTTTTCTTTGGATGGTGCTGAGATACAACTTCTTGATTATAAAAAGTGCAGGAGATCAAGGAATGAGTTAAACCCACAATCAGGAAACCACTAAATCGAGCATGTAGCTCATTCTACACCACAACCTACTGGCCTAGTCTCTTCAGTGTCATAAAAAACTAAGGAGGGGAAAGGGAGGAGACTGTTTTGAAGCAAAAGTAAAGAAGATTTAACTACTGACTCCAATGAGGGGGCCTTGCCCCGCCCCCGCCGCGGGGGGGGATGCCAGCTGCAAAAGACATTTTGGGGACAATTGGGAAAAATTGAGTGTGAATTTGGTATTAGAGGACACTGCTGCTTCTGTATAGAGTCTCCCTGATTTTGTACATAGAAGATCATGTTTGTGAATAAAGAAAGTTTTACT